AATTTCATCTCTCAGACTTCTTAAGAACTATTTAAGGAATACTACAGGCCAGGAAAGACTAAATGGTTTGACCCTAATGCATGCACATAAGGCAATTTCTCTGGATTATGAACAGATCATTGATCTGTTTGCTACCCTTCATCCAAGAAGAATGAGAATGGTGCATATTTTATGTAGTGATGACTAAATTGACTAATTATTCATGACTATATGACATGACTATATGTAAATGCACATACAGTATATATTTGATCAAATGCATACAGCCATAAAGAACAATATTAAGCTAGCAACTTAATACACATGAATTCATAAAATGTTTCACATTTTGTTAGGCACATTTGTATGTGTTTTAAATATTTCCCGATAATCCCTTCTTTGACTTCTAAGTTTCTTCTTTGGAAGTGGTGGTTTGCTTTGACATATACTGAATAACTGAAATGTTATTTTGCTAACAATGGTCAACTGCATACGATTCAGATCATCCAGTGATATCCTAAGATGTTATATAACTTTGAAAGAACAGTGGTAGTTGTGTGCCAATTGTCATTGTCATCTTACATTACTGACGTGAATTCACAGTGAAGATAGCAGAAGAAGAAATGAACAATGACATATTCATATTGATTATTGACATAAAGTATAAACTTAAAGGTTCTTTTTTAGAGACTGCAAATGCCTCAAAAAAAAAATGAACTTTAATTGTTAATTTGTGTTTATTCCAGGACCTGGACCTTACAATGACATATTCATATTCATCATTGACATAAAGTATAAAATTAAAGGTTCTTTTTTAGAGACTGCAAATGCCTCAAAAAAAAATAAATGAACTTTAATTGTTAATTTGTGTTTATTCCAGGACCTGGACCCCCCTCCCTCCTCTTAGCTAACTCGCGCCTCACGGTGAGAGCTAGTGTTGTCTTGGAAACTAGTCACAAGAACGTCTAGATCCACCCCTGCTTGGCTCAACGACAATATTAGTGATTCCATTGCACATATAGACGGTTATAACCTTCACCGGAAAGATAGATTAATCAAACAACACAGTGGAGTTTGTATATACCTCAGAGACGGTATTATGTATGAAGTACCTGAGAATCTTAACTGCTGTCAAGATTGGTTAAAGCTTAACCCAAAACGACTACCTTGGGGTTATTCATGTTTAATTGTCGTTGTGGTTTACCATCCACCTGGGGCAGACTCTCAAGTAATTACGAACCACCCCTTCCAAAGTTTATCTGCAGCAGAGTCAATGTTCCCCAACTGCGAACTTATTGTTACAGGAGACTTTAACCATATATCTTAATGTAGGTAGTCTGCAACGTCATTTCAATTTAAAGCAGTTAGTCAAATCGCCTACAAGGGTCCAAGCCACTCTCGATTTAATCCTTACTAACATGGCTAAATTCTTCTCACAACCCGAAATCAATCCACCTTTCGGGCTATCAGATCATAGCACTGTACTGTTGAATCCAAAAGAACGCACTCTTGCTACGTCCACAAGGAAACAAATCTTCGTCCGAGACAAAAGAGAGAGCAAAAAAATTATCTTGCTGGATACTTTGCCAGCTTAAATTGATCCTTACTGATGAACCAAAAGGATTGCGAATGTATGTTATCAGCTTTTGATGAAACAGTAAAAATAGGAATGAACAGCATTATGCCTATAAAGTCTATCAAAGTTTATCCTAAAGACGCACCCTGGATGACTATAAAGCTTAAGGAACTTATACGTTTACGGCAGCTAGCTTTCCACTCCAACAAAGAAGGTAGCGAATATAAAACTTTGAGGACCAAAGTGAACAGAGAAAGGAAAACTAGCAAAGCAAAGTTTTATTCATTTAAAGTTGAAGATTTGAAAGGTAAAAACCCCAAACAGTGGTGGAAGGAGATCAATAGGCTGAGTGGAGCGTTTACTCTGAGGAGTACAGACTCAGGTGACCTACTAAATAAACTACAGGCAATTCCAGAGCTACAAGATATGCCACGCAGGGACATTGCAAATCAATTAAATGCCGCATTTTTAGAGCCTCTTCAAGCTTTCCACTTACTTGACCCTACTACAGTACGCGTACCTTTAGAAAATGATTCCGACATCCTACAACTTCCTGTTTATTGAATTTACAAATCCTTAACACGTCTAAACAAACAGAAAACTTGCGGACCAGACGGGATTTCAAACTGGTTACTAAAGGAATATGCTTGAGCCTGTTACTCATATTCTGAACGCTTCATTTAAAGAGCAGAAAATTCCAGGTAACTGGAAACTCGCAGACGTAACTCCTATCCCTAAAGTTAAGAAGGTCAGTGACCCCAAAAAAGAGCTTCGACCGATCTCCATTACTTCATCACTATCAAAGATTGCTGAGGACTTTGTTGTGACTCATTACATTAAACCATATGTAATTAGACTTCTCGACCCAAAACAATTTGGAACTGTACCTGACTCGTCTACAACTATGGCCCTAATTAGTATGCTCCACAAATGGCTAGGCGATACCGATGGTATACTGGTGCCACTGTTGCCTTTGATTTCATCGATCACTCCCTGCTCACAACCAAATTAAATCAATTAAATATCCCGAACAGCAGTTTTAATTGGATAGTAAGCTTCATCACCTGTAGATCACAGAGAGTAAAGATAGGATGTGACTGTTTTTCAGATTGGGGTGTAGTAAAGTCAGGGGTGCCTCAAGGGACAAAGTTGGGCCCCTGGCTGTTTTTAATTATGATAAATGACCTTTCTACTTCCCATCCTTTTGATCTATGGAAGTACGTTTATGATTCAACTGTTTCGGAAACTATACAGAAAGGAGAACAGAGTTGTGCTCAGTCGGCTGCAAATGAAGTTAATGAATGGTCTAAATAGAATCTTTTCCAGTTGAACTGTGACAAAACAAAAGAACTTGCCATCAACTACAGCAGACAAAATAAAGAAGAAATTTATCCACCGGTACTGATTGACGGTCAGCCAATCAGAAAAGTGACAAGTGTGAAACTTTTGGGAACTCGTATCTTACGTGGAACAATGATGTTGAATATTTAGTGAAGAGTGCCTTTCAAAAACTGTATTTTTTTTATTCAGCTTAAACGGTCCGGGGTAGATATCGCTGAAATAGTGCAATGTTATTGTGCATGCATACGCTCAACATTGGATTACGCCTGTCCTGGTTTCCATTATGCTCTTCCAATATATCTAAGAGAAGATTTAGAGCGCATCCAGAAGAGGTGTATCTTTCCAAGTGTTCCGTACTCTACCGCCCTGGAGTTACCTAATATCCAATCCAAAGCTAGGCCAGGCTTAGGCTCATAGTGTAAACACGGCTATAGTAACCCCTGCTGATGCACCAATATGGAAATTTAACGATATTCTAATACCGACAGTGGCGGCGCCAGGCTTCCAAATTTGGGGGGGGGGGCATTTGAGGGGCAAACTCAAATTTTGGGGGGCAAGATAGATTTTTAAAAAGGTCGCCCTCCATGAAATTCGCCCCCCCCCCCCACAAAACGTGGCGATATTCCTAGGAATATCGCCCCCGGGGGGCGAATATCCTAGGAATATCGCCACCCAGGGGGGTGGGGCGAATACCCTAGGAATATCGCCCCTCTTTAGAACATTCGCCCCCCAAACGCGAATGGATAGAAAAACCTTTTAAAACCATTTCTATGTAAGACTTCCATGATTTGCAGCACTAACAGCTTAAGCAAAGTCGATGGCACATTAGCAGAAAATATAGTTTATATACAAGTGTACGGAAGGGAAAATATAGTTTATATACAAGTGTACGGAAGGCCAATATAAATAGCAAGAAAAAAATGAAGTGAATACAATCGACAAAAGGTTACCTTTCAAGAGAACAACTGTTCTTGAGAAAAACGAAAAACCTTATACCACGATATTATGCGGCGAAGCTCAAGTGTGAGGAATTAGAGTAAGGCAGTCAGCTTCCACGTGTCAACGTATGTATAACTTTTAAGTTTACTGCGCATCTACTGCGCACGACCACAATTCCTTGCGTTTAGAAAAATTGAGAAATCTTGCCCCTCTACACAAATTAGGTCTGCTGCGTCGCTCGCTCGCTTCAGGCTCGCTCGCTTCCGCAGCAATAATACAATATCAGCAACAAAACTACCGATATAATAATAATGATAATATTTAATATTTATATCGCGCAAATTAACATGTTATAGTATATGATCAAATGCGCATCACAAAACATAATTACACTAAAATTATTCTATGCTGAATGGTTACTAACTAAAAATATAAAGAAGATTATATAGATTATATGTTACATGAAGTATTTACATTAAAGGCTTCTTCAAAATAATAAGTCTTAACTAATTTCTTGAAAATATTAGGGACGATATACCTATACATGGATATCGCGGTACATATAGTAACGAATTGAGATGTTGTAAATATTGACCTACTGTATTCGTTTCTCATATTTGTGCCGTTCTCGCATTTTACTCCCCTCTTCAGGTTTGGGACTAGTCCAAGAGCCCTCTCATATATACAGAAACGCTGTCTATACTGTTTGGGAATTATGATCATGGAGTACTCAGGGGAAAATTTTACTTCAAGTCCGTACCTTCGTAGCCCTTGCTGTGGGTTCTCTTATGATTATTATTACCGTAAATTATGAGAGTTTGCTTTTATGAATGAGGTTACGTTTAGTGCTAAGTGGGATCACTCAAGTTTCAAGCTACGCAATGATGACCATACATTGAAAGATTAACATGAAAACCCCTCTCCAATGACCCCTCCTTTTTTGGAGGAGAGGAATTATTAAGCTCCCCCTCTTCTCAACAAAGGTATAAACCAAATTAGATTTATGTTGATTGGCCTGAAAATTCACATTAATTTATCACATTATCTATTTTAAATAATTAAAGCGCTTTGGTGCAATGAGCCACTTATCTATACTATTTTCTTCCTGGGAGCACAAGCTAAAGAGATAAAAATTTTTCTCCAAACCTGTTCCTGATGTATATATAGTGTCATAGTTATTAGTTGACCATGGTTTTAAATTTAGGAAATGGTTTCCACCCCTGCCCTATATGTAGCTCAATTATGACTGAAATAAGCTCCCCGGGATGTTACCGAAATATATTATTTATGGTAACTCAAATTTCTTGTTTCAAAACTGTAGCTCAGTTTGATCGTGTTGGTCCTGACTTCTGGTCTGGAGAAAGTAAACCCTGGAGAATATGTCGTTCTTTTTGTTGGAATATTTGTGGGAATAATCTGGCTTATCGTTGGTTACCTTGTGGTAGGTTAAACATGTTGATGTTTGTGGAAAGATGTTGATGTTTACAGCCTTTTAGAGTTGTATTTCGCCCTATGAGCCAAACACAAATACCGGCTGTGGCATGTGATACACACAGATTGAAGGTATACCGTAGGTTTTTTTGTTGAAAACCAAGGAATTTTTGACTTACTGCAAGTTACTGTAGATCCACCAGCTCATCTTGCTAATCTCGTAATACATTATTATACTTTGTTTAGCCAAAATACGAACAGAAGACATGGCTATATGTGTTCTTAATCCTCAGTCTTCCTCAGCCAGCTTATGTTTTGTACAAGATTATCCAGGTAATGGCCAAGCTCCTTTAGCTACCAGATAGAATCCATTTCTATTTTATATTTGTATTTTTCTGTTAGAAATCTCCAATATACAGCTGTACCAGTCCTAAATTTGCGAGATGCGGAAGTCCAGCCCTTTTCTTACAAATACACAGGACTCAAAGGAGGGACCACGGTTAATAGAAGGAGACTGGTTAGGCTAGCCGGCAAACTTCAAAGGGTCTCTGAAGTTATGTTGGGAACCCCAAAAATAAATGTCACGTGGTGCGATCCCTGCATCAACAAGGAGTGATACTAAGAAAACATTAAGAGATTTAGAGTGTTTTGCAAAATTTAAGCGATTTTTATACCTTTTTTGCAAGTTGAAAGCATATTTTTATGGATACACGGCGTTTATGGACATCCCACAGGAAAAATATCAAATTATAATGACTCAAGAACAAAAAATCGAACGTAAAGCACCGAGGTTGTTTGACACTCGTATCGAGTATGGCACACGGTATGAACAGATCAAGCCAAAGCGAGTCTGAAATTTACCTAGAAGATTCTGAAAATGAAGACTAAAATCTAGAAGTTACCGTGGCTGTTACGCAGGGAGAATGAGAGGATATATAGGACGAATTTAATGACGCTTTGAGCGAAATACATGGTGAAAAATCGTTCCCTTTGTCCAAAGTGTGACAAATTGTGTACTAAAGTCTGTTAATTTAAAGGCAGCTTAACCAGACACACGAATTCGAAGCATTGCGAATTTTCTTCCCAGCAAACATGACCAGAATTGCATATTTTTGCTACGATACTGTTGCGTCGATTGTGGAATCGATCAAGTCGCAAATTATAAGAGAAAAATTGTGTGGGGTTGAAATGAGCAACAGCGCCAAGACTGCATCATGCACTCATGCTTTGTTTTGATGCTTTATTCAAGCTAAGTTCTGTTGAAACTTGACCAAGCTGAGCGTGAACCTTTGTCGTATGTCGTAGGCTATATAGTATCAAAACTTTTCCAGACAAATAAACGAAAGTGTGGGGACAACGACGAACTAAATTGTGCTTGGAACATGTCATCAAATTGTTGAGGAAGGTCACACTTTTAATATATGCAAGGGACTATCTGAACAAGGAAGGGCCTGAAAAGATTAGCTATATCAGCAACATGAACTGTTGACAATCATGTAAATTGTGAAAATGATTGGAAACTATACATGTGTTATCATTACACCACACTCTGACCTCGACTGACATTAGCTCTTGCAGCAACAATATGTAGGCTCCAAAAGTGAGAGGTGTACCAGATTACCAGAGTTACATATATGGTAAATGCTCTCGATTAGATCTAATATAAACATAGATATGTATATTTTTCATTTGAAACTGCCATTTACAAAAAAAAAACTTCAACACCATACTTATGCCAATAATAGGGTGACAGAAGTTGCTGTTGATATTGGTAATTTGGTGGTGTCACGGTGGTGGTGTACACTACTGGTCAGATACATATATGCTCCAACTAGTTTTTCACTTAAGCATTTTGACTATTGTTGGAAACCACTGTTTTGCAAAGGATACACTCTAGCAGTTGATACGAAAGATCTTTTAACTAAAGTAGGCAAAGTGGAAAAATAAGCCTACCTGTTCATTCACTGTCATATTAAAGCAACATTCTGGCCAGGATAATTATCATTAATCAACTACAAGATTAAATATTCCACAATCATGCATTTCCACTGTATTGCTAGCATGCAGGTTAACCACCTGTGAAAATACATTCGCAGTAATTCTTACAACTGATAGTCTTATTCGATTGTTTTATCAATATGAATATTTTAAATAGTTATATGTTATTAGAACGTTGACGGTTGTAAATACTGTCAGAGTATGCACAAATATGTTCCTCGCCATGTAATAATTTATAGTTTATAACAAATTTTGACTGTGCACAATTGACCATTTGCGTAATAGACCACATTTTGATCTAAACAAGTCTAGACAAAAGTTTCATCACAGCTTGAAAGAGCATCACAAAATTAGTAATACTCCAAAGTTTCGTTGCAAAATGTTGTAAAATGCGTAAAATATAACCTTGCGAAATTTGCAATTTTCAGTCATTTTATATTACAAACGGGAAATTGACAGCCTCAAAGCGATGCGGGCTGTCAATTTCGCGTTTGTAATCTAAAATGACTGAAAATTGTAAATTTCGCAAGGCTATATTTTACGCATTTTACAACATTTCCTAACGAAACTTTGGAATATTACTAATTTTGTGATGCTCTTTCAAGCTGTGATGAAATTGTTGTTGAGATCAAAATTTAGTCTATTACGCAAATGGTCAATTAACCCCTGGAAAAACATAGTTCAGATAAACAGACACCTTGTGGCTCAGTGCCATGTTCTACAACATATTTCGCAGCATGTTGTCAACCGGTGCTGCACACAGATAAGGATACCATAACAAATTATCAAGAATTGCAAATACTTTGTGTTGCTGATGAGGTATGCAACAATGGTACTCTGAATAATGTAAATATTTTTATTACTATACATATTCTACATTCATTCCATACTTTATGTGTGTGTTGGTGTTATGTACTAAGGTGAATATGATGTTTGTGGTGTTACTCTGAGTGTGCATCCACACCGGGCAAGTTGAAAAGTCCGCCTGACCACGGTGGGATTCGAACCCGCAACCTTTGGGATACTAGTCCAATGCTCTGCCAACTGAGCTATGAGGTCATGTCGGTTCAAGTTGGTGATATTTCGGAACTGAGTTTAGTTCCTTCGGCTCAGTTGGCAGAGCATTGGACTAGTATCCCAAAGGTCACAGGTTCGAATCTCACCGTGGTCAGGCAAACTTTTAAGCTTGTCTGTTGGGGATGCACACTCAGAGTATTAATACCACAAACTGACAAACATATTCATTCCAAATGGTCAAAACATAGAGTAATAAAAATGCTTTCATTATTTGGATATGTATGTAAGCTTTGCAATTTTATGATGTCATTTTACAACATGTCTATGAGAAATAGGAATACAAATTCATACTGAATTAGCCCATTGAGTGGCAGCACTCTCTCCTTAATAGGTAAAACTGTCTAGTGTTAGAGTAAAATAATAAAGTAGGGATGGGTGCATCAGGGTGCAATGCCAAGGTTAATGCATAAACAAAAATCAATATTTATATTAATATATTGCCAACTGTTCTCAATTTCTAATGTCGAATTCTAGGCTGATTAATTAGTATATCTAATAAGATCACAATCAACTCATGTGTTTTTTACTTCCAAAGGAGAAATAACAGGGGTTTTAAATGAGGGGGGGGGGGGCTTAAAAGAGAATTTTTGACAACTCATAAAATTGCATAACTTCAAATAAATTATGAGAACATGTGTTACTTAAGTGTTACTAGGTCATTTCTTTGGGCTTTTTCTTTTCTTCACAGGTTCATCACTAACTCACATTTTCTCTGCTAGCAGGTGCAATGTCTCTTTGTGCAGCAATGGTGAGGTCATTGCAGCCAAACTGCTGGGCTGTGGGATTGTCAGTCTGTCAGAGTGTCCACCTTTCGCATGTTCATGACCAAAATAGTCCCCTAACCCACTTTACATAAACCTTTCGCTGAGAACATGAATCAGGAAAGCCAACCAAGTTGTGATCAGATGTTGGGTCGACCAATGTACAACTGATTGAGTGTTCACATCTTCTGCCAAGCATACTTGTTAAAATGCATTCGGGCTTGAAATGAAGTTCACAGAGATAAACGTTGCTTGCTTCAATACGTTTCTTAAAGTCTGTAGTCAACACCGTGTCCTCGGGATTAAATTTGTCCATTCCTTTCACGCGTTTTCATTCAATTGCCAGGTTTTCTCGCTGTCGTCGGGACGAACGGACGGCAGTTTAAAGAACGAAAGCCGGTGCTTTCTGCTGCTTGAACAACCATAAAATGCACAGTTTTCGCTATGCATGACATTTATCTTGCCATCCGACAAAAAAATAGAATTGAAATAAAAAAACAACCGCTTTATATTGAAATTTCGAACGCAGGTTTTGTATACATTCTGTATATTCCTAATAAGCGATTGAGATCTGATGCAGGGAACGGACCACGTGACCCTTCAAAACAAGGTTGAATAACATAATTTGTCACGTGGTACAAGTAGCCTAACGAGTCTCCTTCGATTAACCGTGGTCCGAATAAGTTTCCAATTAAGCCATTAGGTAGCGCTAATGCCTGAAATTTCAATGCATGGACACGCTTATGACCATTGTAAACCAACCGCTGCATTTGCCCAGGGCGACAGATTGCACTCACTGTCCCGTCAATAAAACCAAAAAAATTCGCCATTACGAGCCACTGCTTCGGCATATCTTCGAAGGCATTGAGGACTCAACAACTGCTCGTTCCACTGTGTTAGCCTGTGGGCATGTTGGTCATAAATAAAATCCAAAACCTGGTTTGTAATCATACTTAGCTCTGGGACAGATCTATCAAACATCGAAACCAAGTCACTATACCTACACGGGTAGCAAAATCGCCGCAACCGCATGCACAGAGCTTCCATTCCGTCGCAAATAGTTCCTTGTGGGCATGTGAATCGTCCAGGCACACCCATCGCACGAGCAAGAACAGGAACTTCGTGTTTTTTAAAGCGAAATTGAACCTCGCGATCGCATTCAGCTTCATCGATGTTGTTCAATTCAGAACTCTCGTAGTTTTGGTACGATAATTCGGGGTTTTTTGAATGGCACATATCTTAAAGAAGTACGAACTCATCTTCATCAATAAAACAAGAGTCATAAGCCAAAATAGTAGCCTGCATGGCAGGCGGTACGTAGGAAATACCGCCTGCCGCAAAACTGGGTGTAAATGAACTACCGCCCCTGAAGCATCAACGCTATTTATAGATGCATTAATTAAGTAAATATTCAAAATTAGCCACTCCCAAGCTGCTCCCAAGTCCCAACTGCCCAACATAAAATAAATTCCTTGATTCTCATCACCGCCCGACTGAATTTTAAAATCCTCGTGAAAACGTTTTATATTTCGTTATACAATATAAATGTACCGCCCGACAAAATAATTCAAGACAGTTAATTTTTTTATATTTTATATAGAGTTTTTATTGCCATTTTAAACTTCCAATTTGAAACAAACAGAATTTTGAGTGAAATTTCATTGTATTTTAAAGAAACTCAGTCATTCTGTCATTGTTCGTGGAGATACGAACTATTGATATATAAATTATATAAATATAAAATATAAAAAATAAATCTCCCACTGTCTTCGACATTTCAAAGTGTAGACTGTGTCTAGTGATGAGAATCAAGGAATTTATTTTATGTGTTAATATAAACCAAGCCCGTTTAGCTGCCTTAAAACGGTGGTTTAATAAGCTCAAAATACAAAGCATGCAAGTCTATACTATAGATTCATCATCAGTCAACAACCAAACTGAAAGTATTGAACCTTATAGAACGATAGTTTTTATTTGTTTACAACTATACATATTCAACGGGTATATAAGAGTTTAACTGTTATTTGATAATTACTGCATCAACCGGCCCCTTGTTTATACTTTGGAGGTTCGTATATATTAATATCTATCAAGTATCTTTGGTTCAGAACATGACTGATAGGCCTATATGGAAATCCCACTGTTCGATTCAGTGAAGAAATATCTCCTAATTTCTATCGATAGTTTTAGTAAAATGTCAACATTATTGCGATTTATGGCCTTTGAAAGTCAAGCGAGATAGTATATTATCAAATTAATACGCATGTAATTGTCTGAACGAAAATATAGACTAGCCCATATCTTTCGCCGATCATAACTTCGGCCCCTTCGGACGTATCTTCTTTGTTAAATATTCTTGTTCGAATCTCTATCAATAACACTATTTAGAGTGTTATTTTTCAGCTTGTATCTTTTAATTTGCTTCTTTTATTATGTTATTCCATTTCTGGTCTGACTTGACGTGAACTAATTTCAAAACGCAGAGTTTCAAAACGTCAAAACATTTGGTTAATGATTAACATTTAACCGAATTTAGCCGTTGATTGACAACTACATAAAAATACTAACCAATCCGTTTTTCCCGTTCACCAGCGGACGGGTAATTCAAAAACCCCTAGTTTTGCGGCAGACGGTATTTCCTTTGCTTCCCTAATTTTCGCTGCCCGTAGAAATACCGCCTGCCATGCAGGCTACCAAAATAGCGGCTTCCCTAGCTTGCCTAAATGAACACATCTTGATGAACAGTTGTCTATAAAATACACACGTCCGCGTAGTTGAAAGCGCGAGATATTAATCTACTTTTTACAATACGCAGACGTTGTTCTCCCCAGGCTGCAACGCGGAAATTTAGCGCGTTGTAGACTGCCGCGTCGTACAATATTAAGGTCGCTAATATGGTTGCGTGCCAGTGGCGTAGCCAGACCTTCATTTTTTGAGGGGAGTGGGGGGCGAAGCGAACGCCGAAGGCGCGAGACCATCTAGGGGGGTACGGGAGCATTTTGAAATCCGGGAAAATTTTCCCGGGGCTCCGGGAAAATTTTAAAATCTAGAGTCTCTGAAATGCGATTTCAAGCATTTTGGGGGTGAAATCTTGCAGAATTCCGAAGATTATAAAGTACATCGAAGACATAAATTTTCCCACACATTTCTAATTTTCTACTGGGAATTAAATAAATTGGAAAAGTCACCTTGAAAAATAGGAGGAACCGGTCAGTGTCACCTTATTTCCCCTCTGTGATACTGGGGGAAGAAAATCCCAATGTGATTGTGATCAGAAATGTTGCATTTAAATCATTCTAGGTTCTATGAGACAGCATTTCCGCATTCTCAAAATTGCGTTGCTTTTTCATACGATACAGAATATAAGTCTGAGAAGAATATTCATGCTATGATAATGCATACATGTAAATCTAAACTAAATCTATTCTTCTTGGAACCATATCTACAACTGCTTTAACGAGATTTTACAAATCAAGTTCCTCCAGTATATCGTCGTTTTCCTCAGTCGAGACGTACTTAATCAGTTTCAGCTTCGGGGATGTAACGTGTACACCCCCCCCCCCCTCAATTTCTCTATGGATTTAGCTTTTTTCAGAGAATTTTTTTTTGCGATTGGGGGGGGGCGGTCGCCTCCCCCCCTGGCTACGCCACTGTTGTGTGCGACCGATGTTGTTAATAATTATATACAGGAAGTTCAATCTACGGAGTCACGATTTTATATAATAGCCAGTTATATAATTCTGAAAACTGAATCACTTATATTATTGTTATGTTTGCATTCGCGAAGCTAGCTATGAGTTAGCCGAGTCAGGCAAGTTGGTAAGAATATTCCTAAAAAAGTTAATCATTTATTACATTGGTGTAAGAGGGAATGTGGGTTATAGCGTCATGCAAATATTACCAAAAACACTTTTTGATTATACACTTGATAATGTTGATTCATTTTTAATTCTTAGGATTGGAGTACAAATGTATCCAATAGTGTACTATAGTAGAATTACAATCATTGTGTCAATGTTTATATGAGATTAAAAATGTTGTTAAATCTGCTGTCAGAATGCAGGAAGAATAGCGTTTCTTTGCTTTAGAAAAACAATTCTGTGTTGACATTCCCCCAAGATTGAAAGGTTTCGGCGCAAGACTCGGTAAATGTGAGATCCTGTGCCTCTTGAAACAGCCTCGCCCCCTTAAAATAGCTGGTATTAAAGGTAGTTATAAACTTCATAAACTTCATAAACTTTAATAAGTACCACTCCCTAAAAAGGGCTTTTCAGTGATACAATTTAGAAAATATATTACAATGTGATGTATAAGAAAGTTATATACTCATTTAGAATTACTCATATGCACTGAGTTGTTGTTTATACAGTTTATGTTTAAAAGATTGAAAAAGTTGTATAAGCATGCCTAACCTAGAAATGCAAACCTATACTCCCTTGCATCCAGGGAGTTCCATCTACTACTACAATAGTAGAGGGAAACTCATCTTATCAAAATTTCATATCGATCTTAGTGGGGGCTAATATATATGCAGATTTCGTTTAATCATAATGTTAAAAGATATGATAACAATTTTTGTAATGTGTACTTGATTAGTATGTGATTGGTTATATGATTCATGTGGCCTTACCATGAAATAGCTTTGCTATATGGGAATCTTTTATTTCAAATCCTTTCTTTAAAGAACCACTAGTTCATAAATTGTAGAAGCAAAAGTGAAAAATGGAATTTTCAGTATTTCTCAAGTTGCACTCTCCACGCTTTGTCACCCCGTCTTCGTTTGGGAGCCCCCTTGTAAGCGTTTCAGAACTACATTATTCTTTGCGTGAGGAATGTTAGTAGAAATTTTTGCACACGTCGTACGCGTGAAAGGATTTTGAGTTATTTTTAGTGTTTATCTTGAAGAGAAACTTTTCTTAAATCATACATAGTAAATTCAAATTAAAAAAGGACACATGTTGTTAAAGAGCTCTTAGGCTTTTGGTTACTATCTTTTTCACCTAGTTATTAACGTTCCATGTTGGCCTTTTAAATGTTTAAAAAAATTCGACTTGTAAAACGGCGACGTAATTATTGCTAATGTATATAGCGAGTTAAATTAAAACTTACGTTTAACACGCTATTATAAGTCTTCAATGTTCATTGTAATGTTAGTCTTTTAAAGTGATGGAGACATTTAGTATACCTCTTAACAGTTAGTCAACGAAGTCGAGTTGTCTGTGACCATGGGCGTACCGGAAGGAAAAAATTAGGGGGGCGGAAAGAAAATTGCCCGACTTTTCGTGATTGTGCCCAAGTAGTACCAAAAAATTTTTCCCGGAAAAATTATTTTGGCGACCTCCCCCCCCCCGTAGCCAAAAAAATTTCGGTCAGTATACTATTTAAGGGGTCAAAAAAATTTTCCGGACATACCAAAATTTTTCCGAACATCACATAAATTTTCAAAAAAAAAAAAAATTGACCACAAAATTGACTACATTTACTGAATTTGTCCGATTTATTTTTATAACAAACCAAAATTGCCCGACTGTTAATCGAATATTGCCCGACTGCCCAAAAAACTGGGGGGGGCTACCGCCCCCCCCCCCGCCCGGTACGCCTATGCCGTCTATGACTATGAGCGAATAGTCATGTAACGAGGCGAAGCTGAGTTGACTATTTGTTCAGAGACAACGAAGCTGAGTTGTCTAATTGTTTAAGTATAAATCACATAAAGAAAACGGAATTTTTCACTTGATTTTTATGTAAAATAATAACTTTTTAACGAAATGAGGACCTTTGTCGACATTTCGCCTCGGCCTTGTTGACAACTACTCAGTGTTGCAAACTCCCATGAATGACTTAAAAAATACAACTTCTGAGTTTTAAAAAAGTTAAAAAACAAGTCGTAAAACAGTGTAATAGTAAGGGACCGTAATACAAGCAAAGTTTGGTTAATTAAAAGAAGGAAACAAGGCTTAAAAAGTCCAAAATTTCGAACACAAAATGGCTTCCCGAATTGTTCCTAAATAAAGTTAACGCTAAAAAGCCGAATAAAAATGCACACACCAAAGAATCCGAATGACGTCGTTGAAATCTTTAAAATACCTGCATGGAACATAAAGAGGCAAACCATTTCCATCATCTAGTATACATAGACAATAGTTTATATTAAATTTTAATCGAAAAACTCGATTAAAAAGGCTCGAAAAGGCGAAAAACAAACTCGATCAAAATCTCAACATTGAAACGAAAAA